AACTAAAGTTGGTTTACTGTGTCGTACTAAAAATGAATTGTCTTGCATATTCATACAGGTACCATTTGTCCGTACCTGGTCTGGTTCTTCTGCTCTACATCTAGAGATTCTTGATAAAATCCGAAGTGTCTATAATGTAATCGACCCTGTCCAGGTATCTCGACTTCAGTCACTTTCTCACCAACATGGTGTGGCTTCCCTCTGTCTTTTCTAGAAATATTTTTATGACAACTGCTTTTTTCCCTCTGGTTCCTCGACTACATGAATTTAAGCGTGTTACTGGATTGGCAATTAGGTCCCAACTTTTTACTGTTAAAATAGTTAAATGCAACCGCTACTTTTACTCCAACCGTGACCTTTCTCTTACTTCCCGTCTGTGGAATTCCCTTCTGTTTTACTGCTTCCCTGATGACTACAATCTTGAAAAATATAAATGCAATGTCAATCACCATCTTCTTTCTTCTTGAATCCTTTTCATTCCATCAATCCTCCCTATTTTCAGTCTTCTCTTTCTCTTTCATTCCCTGCAACCACCTGCATTCTAATGGCATTTCTGCCTAGCTTGGGATAAACTAAATTAAAAATTAAACTTGACTCGTTCTTCATTCTTTATCTTCACAAGAATCAGATTATACCAAAAATAGATTATTTCTGCCATCTCTGGAATGGCGCAAAACATTTCTCACTTTTCTGCCTCGAAAGAGATCAAAATCGTTTATAAGATCTTGTGGGAGTTCCATAGAAAATGTGGCAAATATGGCTACTCTACTTTTACAACAAATGTTCAGATGAACTAAATTCTTCTCTTTTAATACTTAGATATTTACTGAGTGCACACGCCATGCTATTTCCACGAAGTCGAATCATCCTCATTACCTCCGCACTAGAAATGCAAGGAGAAAATTTCACCCATACAGATTTTCCCCAAGGACACCTATTTTGCCAAACATAAGCTACTTGTGTATGCTTACCTGAACACTGCAATCTTAACCTCTTCAAATCAAGGCTCAATAACTACCTATCGCCTCTAGCCTGATAATCTTCAGTGAGAAATAAAGTTCTTCACATTTTGTAGAGATCGGAATAAATGGTGACCCCGAAGAAGCATAATGAAGTGAGTACAGAGAAGATAGTAGAGCATCCCAGTCAAACTGTACTAAATTCTGCCGGATCTGCAAGAAACCAAAAATCTGGCGTTGTTAGGATGGAAAGAGATATTCTATGAGACAAAATGGACTATCAGTAATGGTACCATCTGCATAAACGGTACAGATATTTATGTTTTGTTTTTCTTTTTGCTGGTTCTAAAGCGTTTTTATTCTGGTAATGAAAGAGCATCACAGGACGAGAACACATACCATATTCTTTCATTTTCACTTTTATCATAAACATTTTCTACATTCCAAAATCTACATATGTATTGTATATAATGATGACCTGAAATGTCAGCGCCCAGCATATGTTTTATAAATTTCAGTCACGCTATGAACTTTTGTTCCAACCTAATAATTTCATAAGGGGGAGATAATAATATATAACACGCTCAGATAGGCGGCGTTTGAAGATATGATTTCTTCACACACTGGACTGAAATGTATAAAACGTACACAGATTCTGGCAGGTGGCATTTCAACGCTTCTTTTTATAATATTTTTGTGTCGAATTGTAAAAATTTAAAAATGTTTTTTTGCATTAAAAGTGAAAATAGAGTTAAATAAGATGCATTTTCCTCATCAGGTTTTGAGTTGCAGATTTTTTTTTGCTTTTCATGTGACCATTTCTGTGTCACAGTTGCCGCCATCTGTCATTACTCTAACCATATGTATTTACGCAGTTTCTTGGTTCTGACGTCTCCAACACGTAACCGATAATTTGGACTGACTCTAACTAACAATTATGCATTCTGCCTTCGTAATGGTTAATATTTTCTTCATGCTGTCTTCGATTACCATAAGAACTTCTTGAAATTTTCTTTCTGAGTTTTCAACGTGATTTTCACTTGGTGGATGTTCTTCAGTTTACGTCCGCCGATAATTAATCCTGTTAGGTCTTCTGGTGTTGTCTCGCTATCCAGGTTAAATAAATTCGGTAAGACAATGCATTTTTGTTGCCTTCCTTTTTTCTTTTCTGTGTGCATTCATTAAATAAATTCTGTCTCCATATGTAAACTTTTTTTTAATGCCAGCAAAATTTACGATTACAAAAGCAGGTTGATAAGAACCTAGAGACTCATTTCTTCTCTGACCCCATTCCATTATGGATCAATGGAAGAACGTACTAGGTTGTAAACTTCAATATGGCCAAAATCAAACTAGTAACGTTCCACCACCATTGAGCAGACCCCCAACTTTCCCCAATCACGATGGATGGGTCTTCTCTCAAAGATGCTTCTTGCCTTGTACATATATTGGGGTTCAAGTTCTCTTAGGCCTCAATTGGAACTCATATATCCGATCCATTGCCAAAGATTCTGGGTAAATGGTCGGTCCTTTGAACCTCTCCAGTAAGTATCAGACCCCCTTCTGCTCTGTTCCATCTTTACAAGAACCAGATCAGAAATAAAATGAAGTATAGGTGCCATATGTGGGCTGAAGCTGCCTAGTCCTCACTTGCCTGATTTGATAGAGTTCGAAAGCATCTACACGGCCTTGTGGGTGATTAATTATTTCCCGTCTATATTTCTGAGATAACGTATTATGTAAATTATTTACATTATTCAGACTATTGTCCTCATCTTTGTCGCCATATTTATTACAACTTTTCGGCTGTTCTACGCTCCGGCCTTCTTCAGGTGATTGGAATATCGAACTGAACCTTTTATTTCGCTCACTGGGGTAGACTGTTCTAGTTCCGCCTTTATCCACAGTGTCATGTGTTCTTGAGGACATATGACACGGTGGATAAAGGTGTTAGTTAGATTCAGCGGCCTTCTTCAGGTAGTTGGAATGTCGAACTGAATCCTTTATTTAGCTCACTGGGGTAGACTGTTCTAGTTGGTTAAGTCCGGTGACAGGACCCAAAGAGTGTGAGTTCAATACCCGGTTAAGGCAATGGAGATCTTGGAGAGGGGAATTAACAGGAGATAACTGATAACTGACATCCATTAAAACATGACACGTGGAACTAGAACAGTCTACCCCAGTGAGCGAAATAAAGGGTTCAGTTCGACATTCCAACCACCTAAAGAAGGCCGGAGCGTACAACGGCCGAAACGTTGTAATAATATGGCGACAAAAATGAGGACAATAGTCCGAACAACGTAAATAGAAACTCTTAAGCCGAAACAAAAGTTCGTAGCATTTATTAAGCGATCTTCAAAGACAATCTTACGATATCTGTACATAGATGTATCCAGCCACATCTGTGACATTTATTTCCAATATTTATCGCCAGTTTTAAGCCACTTTTATGATACCATCCTCCAAGAGTGTTTCTTTGATGAATTCCAATTTGAAATGAATTTTCTCTCATTAAAAGCATTTTATTGCGATCAAAATGAGTTCTAATCCAGTGATGAGAATATTTCAAACCTACCTTAGTCACAGCCCACCTCATGAACGGCGACGATTTAAGAAAATATGGATGATACTTATAAAAAGAATAGGTCAAAGTTCTTTTTTTCAGTAAATGCTGCCGTTGAAGTGTTAATCTGTGCTTGGAATCTAGTCATCTTCCTCCAGTTTATAATACTTACCAATGATTCTGACCCAAAATCACTTCATCCAGGAACGAGAAACCCGCTTATTTCGTTTATTGTTTACGTCGCAACTGTCGGCAGTAAGCGAAGGTTTTTCTTATTGTTTAGTTTACCTGAGCTATATTTAAAGTGGGATGAATAAAATAGAAAAGAGTCTTAGCGCCACTGTCTAAAGTAAATATCAGTTCACCAGAAATAAGAAGCAGATTGTGTAGATCTCTTAAGCGCAGAAGAACGGAAAAAAGAAAGAAAGAAAAAAAGAAAGAAAGAAAGAAATGAAGGAAGGAAGGAAGGAAGGTTTTTTTCCAGTTCTCCGTGTTACTACAATTAAACTAAAGGAAAGGAACAGATTCAAATCCAGACATTGTAAGACTTTTTTTGTTTATTTCTTACATTCTGAGTGGCATGGGATACTCATTTTGTTTCTTGGAGGTCGCTTGGCTAGCTTCAGCCAAGTCTTGAGTGAATATGTGCGTAAAATACACGCGTACATCTATGTATATGCAGACACGTATATAAATATATACAAATTTATATATATAAGTATATATGTAGATAAAAAATAGGTCCACAAAGTAAAGCCATTTTTAACCCATTACCTGCTATGAGCCCCATTTGGGGATCTATTAAAATTAAACTCACTACATGTTATTCCTTGTATTTTCTTGCTTATATACATTGCATTTGCAGAGGTATATTTTACAACACTGAGCCTTTAATTTTGTTTTTTATTAGCCGTAAGAAGACACTTTCTGTCGTAATTTTACATTTCACGAGTAGAAAAATAATGACTATTTTGAAAAGTATTTATTCATTATTTTTAATCAATATTATTTTTTGATGTTTTATACACATAAATATTTGATGTTCTAGTTTCTATAAAAATGACAATGGTAACTACTGAAATTAAACATAAGGAATAAATAAACTCCTAAGACACCTGTATGGGATAAAAATTCGCATTAAAAGAAATGGCAGTTCAGGGGTAAAAGACAGAAACAAAAAGAACAATCATATGGGCTACACTTGATTTTATGTTTTCTATGGACACAGAGGGTCCCCAATGAAATACTACTCCACGAAAATTATTCATTGTCCCCAAAATTAAAAGGATCATTAAAATTTAACGTTTCGTCAGTGAATTATTGTCCTTAATTTTTTTAAATGAAAATTGTTAAAAAATTAAGAAAATTTGTTAATTACACATAAAGATCGTAACAAATGATTATTGATAAGTAATAAATATTAAATTATTAGGTAATTATATACTCTTAAGGCGACTTATATATGCGCACTTATTAATTTAGATAGATAGATAGATAGATAGATAGATAGATAGATAGATAGATAGATAGATAGACAGATCAGTCAAAGTATCAGCACCATAAAGAAGCGTAGAATAAAATTCCTATTCACTAAATTTAGCAGCGTCTAAAAGTCCATTATTAACAAAAATAATTTGACATTTTCTCAAAAAACAAATAATTTCCTGTTCGCTAGTTGCTTTAATAAATTTATCGATGTCATGTATTGAAGTTAAATTATTTAGCCAACCTATTAGAATTTAACTGAAGTAATTGATGCAAATACCAATATAGACGGTAAAGAATGAAGAAAATTTCGACTGATCCGAATATATCTTCCATCCTTTCCTTCATCATTAGTGCTATTGATTAATTAAAACTATGCATCTAACAATATGATTAATTAATTCAAGGATTAGTTTTCTATAAAATTAATCTTTGCAAATGTTTAGTCTCAGTATTTCTACATTTCCAGTATGAAGAGTAGGCTATTTAATATCAATTACATAAACATGAATAAAAAGTCGCGTGGGTTTTGCTTTATCACTAGTTTAGGAATGGATTTCCGAATCTTTCTCAGTCTCTTTCACTCCCAGTAGCTCCTTGCGTCTTAATGGCATTATCGCCTTGCATGGGGTAAATCGATTATTATTTTTTTTTAAATACGTGCGGCTGCTGAAATGTTCTCTGACCGAGGCACTTGATGAAAATGTTGTCGAAATGACCAAACGTCTTCTGATTTTCATCCCCTGCACTAATGCAGGCCAAAAGACGCAGAAGGCAACGATCTTGGAAATTATGGCCGACACTTTCGAAGCTCAAACGAGACTGAAAACTGTTTCAGTGTATAGATTTGTTTAAGCTCCGAAAATACACTGGCGCCAAGATTCCTTATTTGATGAATCCATTGTTGGATGACATGGGATTATAGCAGCAGTAATCATATGATCGATCTCTCTCGCTCACTTTTTCTCTGTCTCTCTCTCTCTCTCTCTCACCTCTCTCTTCACACACGCACACATATATATATATATATTCATCCACAGACAGACTGACTCGGAAACAGTCGGAGATTTTTCTCCCTAAGCCATCGGCGCACGGTTGAAAGAAATGTGAATTTTAACGTACTTATTCTGTGAATAAACATGCCAATGACTGACACTGGTTGTAACAGCAAAATTATCCAGATCGTGTAACAGCAAAACTGTCCAATTGTTAGATTAAATTTTGAACCATTATATCTTAGATATCCGAATGCAGAAGCCACGCTGAATCTCCATTGGCTTCTGCAATCGGACCCCCCTACGATTACAAAAGTCAAAGGGATGATGATGACGATGATGATGATGATGATGATGATTTAGAAATGACTAAAGATATTTTACTGGAATTCTCCGAGGTTTTTATAACACTATTGAACACTATTTTGAACAATAAGTATGTATTTAGCTCTAAGTTGAAATGATAATCCCTCTTGATCCTGTTTTCCTCTCTACTGTTCCCTCTTTTTCAAACTTATTTACCATTCCCTTGATGGTTTTTTTTTTTGTTTTTTTTTTTTTGCAAAATTTGATCTATTTATGCTTATTTGTTTTTGATTATTTTTGTGTAGTGCAGGGGGGGAGGTATTGTCTTCTGTGTTTGTTTGGAATGACACTCTCACATACACAGACACACATACATACAAGTGTATGCATATTAGTTTGTACAAACACACCCATATAAATAATCTGTGGTTAGACGCAGTTACATATCCATGCGTTCGGGCACACATATATACGCAACAGTCATTCTATTTCGGTGTCAAGATTTTAGATTTATATATGTAGCAATGTTCTCTTAACAGGTAACGGACGGGGGGGGTGTCTTCACGTTTTTCAGATCAGCCATCCGCGTCGTCAGACATACTCACATTCGCTTACACATACACACATATATGCAGACGCGTACCCACACTCGTTGATCTACCACCACATTAAGTTGGGTTCTGTATCTGAACAAATATATATATATATATATATATATATATATATATATATATATATATATATATATATTGAACAATAAAATATATTAAAAATTAAAATCTTCAGACTCACTGGGTTGTATATTAATATTTTTCCGTTTGTATTATTATTTCATTTAGATTCTTCGACTGGTTTCGGCCAACATGGCCATCATCAGAAGAAAAAAAATCTGTTGCTCGTAGCAGTGAACTACAGAAATGTATGTCTTGATAGAGAAAATGAACTTTTTGTCTGTAGTTTTCATTTTTTTTTTTAACATGGATTTTGGTCAAAATTTTGCGTTGGTCAAAAGTCTCTTTTAAGTTGTTATTTGAGATAAGAGCTGGGTGGATTCATGCTGCTCTGAATCCCCTTGGTTATTTTGACAGTTTTATTGGTTCCTGGAAAGGGGATGTGTGTCTGTTATGTGTGTGTATGTTATTTTGTTCTTAGGGAGTGAGTGTGTATGATGTGTGTAAATGTGCATATTTGTGTGGGTGTGTATATAAGTGTGAGGGCGCAACACCTCTGTAAGCATGTCTGTCTCGTGTGGGTGAGAAATGTGGGTAGGTTCTGATTTGGGGGGTTATATATTAATACTATCTATTATTGTTAAATTTGTGGTTAAGCCCAGCTGGATAGTGCGTTTTCAAACGCTGTATCCACTTATTTTCAAAGAACTTTGAAATCTTTCTAATGTTATCTGCTCTGAACTTTTCTATTCTCTCAATTGTAGTGAATTTTAGAATACTACATACTTTTTTTAACTTTCGTATTATTTTTTGGCATGAGCGTTATAAAAGAGAAAAATAATTCAATTAATATAACGATAAAATTTTTAAAAGATAAATAGGTGGTGAAATCGAAATAGAAATAAAGGTAAAATAATATTAAATGTAGTATTAAACTTCAAATTTCAATAAACTAAGTTTGAAAATAGAATTGATGTTATTGCATATAGAAAGGTGAAAAAGAATAACGGTGTGCCCAGAGCTTGGATCGAAATCTGACTGACTTGGTATTAGTCAGAGCTGTTGCCATTGGCCTACTAACACTCTATTAACGTATCCTCCTAATTTTATGCGTAATGCTTTTATGAATGTGAACGAACATTTTAAATTTTGAATTTTGAAGTTCCCATTTATTATATTAATTTATTAATATTAATTATAAAGTATTATTTAAGTAACCTCAATGAAATTAAGGTTATTATATTCCAATTAATTTACAGAATTTTACTTTGAAATTTAACTCTAGACCTAAAATATTCTTATTCTTATTAAGATTTCAAAAATGCCTTTATAACCATATCTCATCTTTTAATAACGCAGATAAACGAAACATGGCTTCACTTTCAAAGTATTTTGGGGAATTAAAAGAAAAGATAAAACACCTAAAGTTAAATGGAAAAAGCTTAAACAAGCTAGAATCTCGAGGTCGTTAAACGAACCGTGTTTCCTCTGCCTGTAGGAGAAAATAGAAATAATTAAATACCCGAACAAGGACAATCTGTTGAATCAAAAATATGAAACGGTAATAAATTGTAAACATACAAAAGAATTAACCCTACAAACTTGCTAAAGAAATTTCTAATCTACGAATGAATCCTCTTATGCTTTTAGACATAGCAACGTAACCACCATCAATATAACCTAGTTGTACTTGTAATTTTCCAAGCGTAGCTTATATGTGGCACAAGGTCGAAAGTATTGGACACCTAGTGAGGATTGAACTCACTTTTCAGTCGTAACTGATCTAGCAAGACAATCTTGCTGACCATTAAACCACGCCGAGGAGCCCTATTTGTACTTGTAACAAATGCCCCACAGACGATATCGACGACATATTCATATTGACAAACAGCTTGCAAGAAAGAGATAAACTGACAGGAACATTTTAGAATAACTCTGTTCTACACTTTAATTACGAACTCAGTATGGACAATAAAATCCTTTTCCTTTAAGTATTAGTCGATGCCAGTAGCTAAAATCTTACGACCTCACTTTGCAAAATAAAAAAAAACTCTAGAAGAAACTCCTGTTTACTTAACTACAAACGTTAATGTCAACACAGATAGAAAATATCTGTTATCAAAAACATGACGTACCGTTCCAAAGTCATCTCTTCTTGGCATATATTATTAATATAAGAAACTTAGCAAAATTAAACAAACCCTAATCAATAATAATTTCCCTAACTTATTCTATCATAACTAAATTCAACCTAATTATTAGCAGGATGAAAAAGCAATTAAAAATATAATTCCCCGTTACATATCACACAATGATCTGAACAAACAACTAAGATTTATCTTTAATTAACTATTAGAAAAAAACATGACATACCGAAGCAATGCAGTCTTTTCTTCTGACATATTATGCTATAACGATCTTAGACATTAAATAATCACTATATCAACTATAGTTTCCCTAAGAACGTCGCAAACGAAAAAATAAAATAAGCCTGAAAGAAATTTAGAAAAAAAAAATACGCCAAACCCATCTCTGGCCCAAACAAAAATAAGTACACAATTAACGTATTTTATCGTTACGAGATGCACCCTAATAATAAACACGATGAAAAAATGTCATTAAGAACATGATTTAATGGTACATATCACCCAATGATCTTAACAAACACCTAGTGTTTATCATTTATTTGGAAAAAAAAAGTCACATGTAAAAATTAGATACAGTCGGATCACGGGCCGAGACACCTTAGAAGAAATTTAAAAAAAGCGAAAAAAAAAAACCTTTGAGAATAACTCTGTCCTAGACTTTACTTGCGAAGTCAATATTAACAATAAAATCTCTTTAATGAGGTATTAGTCGATGGCAATCACCATAATCTTACTACCCCGCTATACAAAGAAGTGAATCTCCTCACAGAAACAAAATAGCTGTATTACAAATCATAATTTGCAAGCCAAAGTAATTCTATTCCTCGGACATTTTATTCTATAGGCTATTTATCAATATTAAACAAAGAAACATAAACACTAAACAACAATATTTTCGCTAAGTATAAAATTAGCTATAACGAAATTTAGAAAAAATGAATCAAGAACCCCTCCCTGATGCAAACAAAAATAAACACAC